TGACGGTACACGAGAGCTGTCAAAAGGTCCTGACATTTCCTTTTTCTGTGGTGTCAAACGGGTGTTGACAAAAGACCATCTTACCAATCATCCGGTTTAAGGGCTGGTTGCTGGGAGGTCACCACATTTATGACCAAGTCTCAAATCCAGTTTCTTATACAGTGGGGCAAAAAAGTATTTAGTCAGCCACCAATTTTGCAAGTTCTCCCACTTAAAAAGATGAGTGAGGCCTGTAATTGGCATCATAGGTAGACCTCAACTATGAGAGACAAAATGAGAAAAAAAATCCAGACAATCACATTGGCTGATTTGGAAAGAATTTATTTGCAAATTATGGTGGAAAATAAGTATTTGGTCAATATCTCCTAGATTGTAAGCTCGAAAGAGCAGGGCCCTCAATCCCCTCATGTTTTGCATTGTATTGGTATTGTTCTGTCACATGTTCTGTCCCCCTCTGTAATATACAGCGCTGAGCGAACTATTGGCGCTTTATAAATACTGTATAATAATAATATCAAAAGTTCATCTCAATACTTTGTTATATATCCTTTGTTGGCGATGACAAAGGTCAAACGTTTCCTGTAAGTCTTCACAAACTTTGCACACACTATTGCTGGTATGTTGGCCCATCCTCCATGCAGATCTCCTCTAGACCAGTGATGTTTTGGGGCTGTCTCTGGGCAACATGGACTTTCAACTCCCTCCAAAGGTTTTCTATGGGGTTGAGATCTGGAGACTGGCTAGGCCACTCCAGGATCTTGAAATGCTTCTTACGAAGCCACTCCTTCGTTGTCCGGGTAGTATGTTTGGGATCATTGTCATGTTGGAAGACCCAGCCACGTTTCATCTTCAATGCCCTTGCTGATGGAAGGAGGTTTGCACTCAAAATCTCACGATATATGGCCCCATTCATTCTGTCCTGTACATGGATCAGTCGTCCTGGTCCCTTTGCGGAGAAACAGCCCCAAAGCATGATGTTGCCACCCACATGCTTCACAGTAGGTATGGTGTTCTTTGGATCCAACTCAGCATTTTCTCTCCTCCAAACACGACGAGTTGTGCTTCTACCAAACAGTTCTATTTTGGTTTCATCTGACCATATGACATTCTCCCAATCCTCTTCTGGATCATCCAAATGCTCTCTAGCAAACTTCAGACGGGCCCGGACATGTACTGGCTTAAGCAGGGGGACACGTCTGGCACTGCAGGATCTGAGTCTCTGGCGGCGTAGTATGTTACTGATGGTAGCCTTTGTTACGTTGGTGCCAGCTTTCTGCAGGTCATTCACTAGGTCCCCCCGTGTGGTCCTGGGATTTTTGCTCACCATTCTTGTGATCATTTTGACCCCACGGGGTGAGATCTTGCGTGGAGCCCCAGATCGAGGGAGATTATCAGTGGTCTTGTATGTCTTCCATTTTCTAATTATTTCTCCCACAGTTGATTTGTTCACACCAAGCTGCTTGCCTATTGCTGATTCAGTCTTCCCAGCCTGGTGCAGGTCTACAATTTTGTTTCTGGTGTCCTTCGACAGCTCTATGGTCTTCACCATAGTGGAGTTTGGAGTGTGACTGCTTGAGGTTGTGGACAGGCATCTTTTAAACTGATAACAAGTTCAAACAGGTGCCATTGATATAGGTAATGAGTGCAGGACAGAGGAGCCTCTTGAAAAAGAAGGTACAGGTCTGTGAGAGCCAGAAATCTTGCTTGTTTGTAGGTGACCAAATACTTATTTTCCACCATAATTTGCAAATAAATTACAGGCCTCTCTCATCTTTTTAAGTGGGAGAACTTGCACAATTGGTGCCTGACTAAATACTTTTTTGCCCCACTGTATGCCAGGGCAGGTGTTCATTGGGTAGAGGGTCTTTCACATGCGTAGAATATGTAATGGTGTAAATGCTGATTAAAAGGTACCTGTGTGACTGCCTGTTGATTGTGTGCATGCATATGACTTGCTTTTAGTTATTGCACCCAGCATTTGCTGTTACAGGAATCTATGACTCAATATCTGGTAACTTTCCAGTCATTGAAGTCGCTACATCAGACCCTTTTATGGGCCTTGTGATGTATATTGGGGGCTAGATTTTGCTAGTCCTACTACCAGGCTGATAAGGGGTGTCTGACAGCAACTAAGATTTGGATGAGCTGAAAGGAGGTGGGAGGGGAAGAGAGAAAAATGGCACATTGACCATTTCTCCTGACAATATGGCATGGAAGACTTGCGACCTAAACAAGATGGATGCCACCTACATCTTTCATGGGTCTAATGCGCACAACCATTACAGAAGGGATCTGGTCTGGAGCAGGATTGTCTCGGGAGGAAGCTGGAAGATGTGCATCTGTCCTGAGGACTTGTGAGTACTGACCCTGAAATGTGATCCCTGGTTATTGTGTGCTTTTGAGATGGTAGCTTGGACTGAGACTCTCAGAGTACTGACCATTCCACTGTCCTCAGCAGAATTCTGGAGAGTGAGTCTAGAGAAAAGTGTCTTCCAGTTTGTTGTGCAAGCAATTTGGAGTATCCCATGGCCTCACCCATCTCCTGTTTCAAAGTTTGCCAAACAATAAATATCAAAAAGACATTCCCTAGACCAGGGGTAGGCAACCTTAAAGAGGTGGAGGTCTACCTGAACATCATGGGAGAAGTCAAAGATCTCCGGGCACAGCATTGCCTCCTCATACCGGATTTAAACCTCTAATTGCCGTACTACCGTGACACAATTGCGGGCGTTGCACAACAATCATGGGTTTAAATCAGGGGCTGAGGGGCAACATATCGCCTCCTCATCAGCTGTCAAATGCACAGAAGAACGGCAGTGCCTACTGCGCCTGTGAATGAGCCCTTAGTTGTCATCGGCAGTGGCACCCTAAGGGCTTGTTCACATGTAAAGTTTGAGGGGAGGTGTGTGTGTGTGTAAAACCCTGCGGTTGAACCACAGTTTTACCATCCCCAAATCCCTACCCCCTTTAGCTGCTGAGGCACATGCTGCAGCAGGCATTACGCCTCCTGTTGCTTTTGGCGGGTGCTACAGCCTGTCAACCGAGACCCATTCAATTAAATGGGCCACTCTTTAAGCGCCCAGCAGCTGCATGCTTCTGTGGGGTCCAAGGGCCTAAAGCAGGTGGTGAGAAAGCATCACAACGCTGCCTATTTAACCCCTTGTTTGCTGTGCTGCACAAGTTTGCAGGGCTCTTGAAGAGCAGCCTCATTCACTTGAATGGGTCATGCTTGGCAGGTTCTGCACCCGCCCACCATGACAGGGCATAGGAGCCGACGCTAGAGAGGAGACACCGACTTATGCGGCTCTTGCTGCTTACTCCAGCTCTAACTTTACAAGTAGTCCTTCTGCATTCCACTCGGTTTGATGCTCTGGGATGGCGGGTCAACGAGCCCCGACCAAGATCTACCAGTGACCTGGCCAAGATCTACTGGTTGCTGACCCCAGCCCTAGACCGAGTTATTGGAGCCAACATGTATGGACTGGTTCTTGTGGGGACGGGCAGCCTCTCCACTATTTGGGAAAAAACAGCTATTGCCAGTGGCCCAAACAGCTATTTCTTCAGAATAACAACAGGTAGGAATCTGCAGCAAAGTTTGTTAACCCCTCGCCCTCCAGAGGATTCCGCCTCCACTTCCTGACCAGGCCATTATTTGCATTACGGCGTTGCGTTACTTTAAAGGACAATTGCACGGTCATGCAACGCTGCACCCAAATGAATTTTACGTCTTTTTTTTCCCACAAATGGAGCTCGATATAGCGGATATAGTGAATGCAGTGTCCGGGGAGAGCGGATATAGTGAATGCGCGGTCCGGGGAGAGCGGATACACTGAATGCGGGGTCCAGGGAGAGCGGATACACTGAATGCGGGGTCCGGGGAGAGTGGATACACTGAATGCGGGGTCCGGGGAGAGCGGATACACACTGAATGCGGGGTCCGGGAGAGTGGATACAGTGGGGTCCGGGAGAGTGGATACAGTGAAGCGGATATAGTGAACGCGGGGTCGGGGTCCAGGGGGAGAGACAGTGAACGCGGGTATAGTGAACGCGGGGTCCGGGGTCCCGGGGAGAGCGGATATAGTGAACGCGGGGTCCGGGGAGAGCGGATACAGTGAACGCGGGGTCCGGGGAGAGCGGATATAGTGAACGCGGGGTCCGGGGAGAGCGGATATAGTGAACGCGGGGTCCGGGGAGAGCGGATATAGTGAACGCGGGGTCCGGGGAGAGCGGATATAGTGAACGCGGGGTCCGGGGAGAGCGGATATAGTGAACGCGGGGTCCGTAGAGAGCAGATATAGTGAATGCGGGGTCCGGGGAGAGCAGGTATAGTGAATGCGGGGTCCATGGACACCATGGAAATAAATGGTCACACACTTCGTCCTGTGGTGGGGATTGTACACCACTTGGGGCTATCTACTCCCTTCCATGGCAAATATGAGGCTTGTGGGGTTGAAGTTGTTCCTGGGGATTCTTAGATCTTTAGGTTCCCGAGTCTGCATAGCCATTGAGGGCCTACCACTCCACTCCACTGTGCCAGGCACGTTCCAGCACCGGGGGTCCCCAAACAATAGAACTCAAGAGAAGACTGGGACCATCAAACTCAACCTAGGAGTGAAAGGTCACTTTTGTCAGGACGTCCCCCTTATTATCACAAAGAGCTCCACCTATTAAAAACCATTGTGCGTTTCTCAAAAAGCATCAGCAGGTGCCTTCCTTAGGCTTCTTTCTCTTGTCGAACATTTCCCGCACTCTGAACACAGTGAGGATGCTCCACAGCGTGTCTTCTTTTGTGTGCAGCAAGGTTTCCTTTCCGAGTGAAACATTTCCCGCACTCAGTACAAGAATAGGGACGCTCACCCGTGTGACTCCTGTGGTGTTCGATAAGTTTTCCCTTCTCAGTGAAACGTTTCCCGCACTCTGTACACGAATAGGGACGCTCTCCCGTGTGAATTCTCTGGTGTACAACAAGGGGGGTTTTCTGAGCAAAACATTTCCCGCACTCTGAACAGGAAAAAGGGCGCTCGCCCGTGTGCGTTCTCTGGTGCAGAATAAGTTTTTCTTTTTCAATAAAGGACTTCCCACACTCTGAACAAGGGAAAAAATGCGCGCCCGTGTGAATTCGCTGGTGTAGGATAAGTTTTCCTTTATGAATAAAGCTTTTCTCACACTCTGAACAAGGGAAAGGACGCTCACCCGTGTGTGAACACTCTGTGTTTTATTAAGTGCTCCTTTCCGACTGAAACCTTTCCCACACTTCGAGCAGGAATGGGGACGCTCACCAGTGTGAACTTTCTGGTGTTTTTGAAAGTATCCTTTTGAAGAAAAACATTTTCCACACTCTGAACAGAGAAAGGGGCGCTCTCCTGTGTGCATTCTCTGGTGTTCCGTAAAATCCCTTTTCTTAGTGAAATATTTCCCGCACTCTGAACAATGGAAAACACGCTCTCCTGTGTGAAATCGCTGGTGTTCTGTGAGTGCTGCTTTCCGAGTGAAACATTTCTCACACTCTGAACATGGATAAAGACGCTCGCCAGTGTGAATTCTCTGGTGTTTAAAAAAATTTTTGTTTTCAGTGAAATGTTTCCCACAGACTGAACATGAGAATAGATTGTCCCCTCGTGAGCTCCTTCATGGGGTGCGGAAGATTCCTTGGGATCAGATGGATCTGTTGGTCTATCTGCAGTGTGAGATCCTAAATGGACATTTGCACTCCTAGTATGTGATTGGTCAGAAGATTCCCCCTGATCAGAGGGATCCATTGATGTCTCCGGACAGGAAGGTCTGTGATGGATATTGGGTGTATTTGGATTCACTCCTGGAGAATCCTGTGTGATGGCATTATCTTCTGACTTCCAATCAGCAGATAATAGAAGACGTCTCTCTCGAGGAATTACTGACATCAGCACCATCTGATGGAGAGAAATGGAAGAAATGTAAATAGGACAGTCATAGGAGTCATGTCATAGCAGTCAACAGTTTCCACTAATGATGGCTATTCGGAGTAATGGAAATGGACCTTCCATATGGTGTCCAGTATCTCCTCCTCATTTGTTGGGAACATGACGTTATATTGAGGAATGGAGATGGACCTTTCATATGGTGTCCAGTATCTCCTCCTCATTTGTTGGGAACATGACGTTATATTGAGGAACGGAGATGGACCTTTCATATGGTGTCCAGTATCTTCTCCTCATTTGTTGGGAACATGACGTTATATTGAGGAACGGAGATGGACCTTTCATATGGTGTCCAGTATCTCCTCCTCATTTGTTGGGAACATGACGTTCTATTGAGGAATGGGGATGGACCTTTCATATGGTGTCCAGTATCTCCTCCTCATTTGTTGGGAACATGACGTTATATTGAGGAACGGAGATGGACCTTTCATATGGTGTCCAGTTTCCTCCTCATTTGTTGGGAACATGACGTTATATTGAGGAATGGAGATGGACCTTTCATATGGTGTCCAGTATCTCCTCCTCATTTGTTGGGAACATGACATTACAGTGAGGAATGGAGATGGACCTTTCATATGGTGTACAACGTTTCCACCTCATTTCTTGGAAACATTGAGTAATGTGGCAAAACAAAGATAAAATATATCTAAGGAAGACTGGAGATTGGTCTACCATATGGTTTTCAACATCTTCACCCTGTTTGCTATGAGCATTAGGTTGAAATGTAAGGACATCTTTGGTCATGTCAACAAAAATAGGTTTTTGTACCCAGTATATAAACTCCCATTCTCCTGTAGTTCATTGGGTGTCACAGCATTGGAATTCTGGATATATCTCTTGCCTCTAAAAAAAGCCAGAAACTGGAAAAAGTCAAAGGTAGAGCTTGATGTAGCTGCACTTTCTCCTGTACACACTGTGCAAGCCCGAACAAATGACCAGAAAGAAAAACAGAATTCTGAAAGGATTAAGGCCAACAGGCAGAAAATACTAAATATTATGGGCTTGGTTTGTGACCCCCAGTGATGGTGATGTGCCAGGAACCTGACTGGTCAGCAAGTGGTTAATATGAATTGAACCAAACATTTTTCCGCCCCCCACCCCCCCCCCTATGCAATTTCACTGTCCACCTGCTCTGAGACATACAATTAATAGCTGCTAGACTTAAAATCAGTTTACTGTGGCAGATCAGGCAGCGATTGGCTGCTGGAGGTTACAGCACATCATTCCTGCTTGAGGATTGGTTGCTAGAGGTTACTGCACAACACACTATTGCTCACTGACTGGTTCGTAGAAGTTACTGAACATCATTACCGCTCACTAACTGGTTGCTAGAGGGTACTGCACATCACTCTGGCTCACTTACTAGTTGTTAGAGGTTACTGCACATCCCTACAGGTCACCGATTGGTTGCTAGAGGTTGCTGCACATCATTACTGATCACTGGTTGCTAGAGGTTGCTGCATGCAGTGACATCACATCATTACATCTCACTGATTGGTTGCTGCACATCATTACATCTCACTGACTGGTTGCTAAAGGTTGCTTCACATCATTACTGATCACTGATCAGTAGCTAGAGGTTGCTGCACATCATTACATCTCGCTGATTGGTTGCTAGAGGTTGCTGCACATCATTACATCTCACTGATTGGTTGCTAGAGGTTGCTGCACATCATTTACATCTCACTGGTTGCTAGAGGTTGCTGCACATCATTACATCTCACTGGTTGCCAGAGGTTGCTGCACATCATTACATCTCACTGATTGGTTGCTGCACATCATTACATCTCACTGACTGGTTGCTAAAGGTTGCTTCACATCATTACTGATCAGTAGCAGGTTACTGCACATCATTACATCTCAGTGACTGGTTGCTAAAGGTTGCTTCATTACATCATGACTGGTTGCTAAAGGTCACTGATCACTGATCAGTAGCTAGAGGTTACTGCACATCATTACATCTCAGTGATTGGTTGCTAGAGGTTGCTGCACATCATTACATCTCGCTGATTGGTTGCTGCACATCATTACATCTCACTGACTGGTTGCTAAAGGTTGCTTCACATCATTACTGATCACTGATCAGTAGCTAGAGGTTACTGCACATCATTACATCTCAGTGATTGGTTGCTAGAGGTTGCTGCACATCATTACATCTCGCTGATTGGTTGCTAGAGGTTGCTGCACATCATTACATCTCACTGATTGGTTGCTAGAGGTTGCTGCACATCATTACATCTCACTGGTTGCTAGAGGTTGCTGCACATCATTACATCTCACTGGTTGCCAGAGGTTGCTGCACATCATTACATCTCACTGATTGGTTGCTGCACATCATTACATCTCACTGACTGGTTGCTAGAGGTTGCTTCACATCATTACCGATCACTGATTGGTTGCTAGAGGTTACTGCACATCATTACTGATCACTTATTGGTTACTAGAGGTTACTGCATATATTGAGCAGAGGATAACAGGAGGTAAAGTGAGGGCAGCATGCCAGCATTGGACACAGAGCTCAGCACTCAAAGGAGTTAAACTCACAAATTGTCTCTTTTTCTAACAGTTATCTGCACTTTCTCTCCTTGGCTCATGGTGTCTGTGGCAGGCGGCAGCATTGACACCTATCATGCCATTGGGTGTCCTCCAGCTCCTCCCTCTTCAAGGTCAGCTGACCTATAGCTACCACCTCCACGGCCCCAACGGTTGAACTGAATGGGCCGACCAGCCATGGAGAGGCCGGGTGGGTGGTTGCTTTGCTTTAAGCACTGAGGACATGCAGCCCGGCGGCCTTGATGATGTCTGAACTGAATGGACTGGCCAGCAGCTGCTTTGAGCCCAAAGATATGTGGCCCAGCGGTCCCGGCCCACCATGAAATTTCCTGGTGTGCCCTAAGGCCAGTCCGGGCCCGCTCTCTAGTATTAGTAAATAACCTCCATAATGTCTGTTACTTACTTGTGTTGATAGGTGGAAAACTTTGACCCTGTTCACTTTTCTTCTCCATCCCAACCTCCTCCTTGGACGTCTGATCACCCCTCACACACATCTGCGCTTCTTGCTCCTTAACCTCACCTTCTATATTGATCAGCTCTTCACTCTAAACTCCAAAATGATACATTAAGATATCATACATCATTAAGTGCATTTTTGTTTTTGTGTATGTACGTAAATGTGAAAAAAGCGCATCAGTCAGGGGAGGCACAAGACCAAGAGGTGTAAATGACCTGCAGCAGAGCAAAATCAGATCTTCCACCCAGTTCCTCTGAGATAAAGTAGCCAAGCCTTCACACCTTGGGGAGCATGGCATTACACCAGCTTGGACCCATGGGAGAAAAGGACAGCACCATGTCATTTAGAATACACCCAATGTTGAAGGAACAGAAGGTAGAGGAATACCCATGGTGTCAAGTAAATATATCAAAGACCCAGAAGAAAGATATCTATGTTGATAAATAAAACACATTGACACTTGGAGGTTCTTCCAACCTTGTAATTTGGAAGCTTTCTAAGGGGGACTGGAAACCTGAGACTAGAGAAAAAGACATTGCTTTAGATTTAAAATTAAATGATAAAACAATAAACTACAAAGAATATTCTCTCACAAAGTTGTGAATCACTTCTGTGTTCCATACCTGATGATGGTGGGGGATGGTGTGACCTTCATGTGTGGAGTCCTGGGAATACAGAGGCCGGGGAAATCTCTCTGGTGGGTTCCCATTACTGGATCCATCTACCTGATGATTGTGAGGGATGGTATGACCCTCCTGTGTGGAATCCCGGGAATACAGAGGACAGGGACATCTCTCTGGTGGGTTCCCATTACTGGATCCATCTACCTGATGATGGTGAGGGATGGTATGACCCTCTTGTGTGGAATCCCGGGAATACAGAGGATGGGGACATCTCTCTGGTGGCTTCCCATGACTGGATCCATCTACCTGATGGTGAGGGATGGTGTGACCTTCCTGTGTGGAACCCTGGGAATACAGAGGACGGGGACATCTCTCTGGTGGGTTCCTATTACTGGATCCATCTACCTGATGATGGTGAGGGATGGTGTGATCTTCCTGTGTGGAATCCCAGGAATACAGAGGACGGGGACATCTCTCTGGTGGGTTCCCATGACTGGATCCATCTGTAGGAAACACACACACTGACTGAATCCATTGTTTCTATGTGTTTATCAGATGATGGGGGATCTAGGTGGACCCTCCGTACTGCTCTCTCCTTTACAATAAAGTCTCCTCTTACCCGGTGATGTGAGGGGCGGCTGATTCTCCATCATGACGTCCTTGTAGAGGTCCTTGTGTCCTTCTAAATACTCCCACTCCTCCATGGAGAAATAGACAGTGACATCCTGACACCTTATAGGAACCTGACACACACAATGATACAGTCACCATCCAGACACATCCCTTGTCTGTTACTGGAGAATGTCCCAGAATTCCTGGCACCGCTCACCTCTCCTGTCAGCAGATCAATGATCTTCTGGGTGACTTCTAGAATCTTCTTGTCATTGTTTCTCTTGAGTTTCAGGGAATGAGGTGGAGGAACTGTGATGGTTAAATGGTCAGCAGACTTCACTGGAGGAAAATCCTGTTTTGAAAAAAAAACAATGTCATGTGACCTCCCAGAATCCTCCTCACCTCTCCGGTCAGGTCTGTCAGATAAGAGTGATGTCATGTGACCTCCCAGAATTTCTGTGTTTTATTAATAGAAATGAGAGTTATGTCCTGTGACCTCCCAGAATCCTCCTCACCTCTCCGGTCAGCAGGTAGATGATCTCCAGGATGAGGTCCAATATCCTCTCAGTCATGTGACTCGGGTCCTCCTCCATCCTCACTGATGTGATCATGTGATCCATAGAAGACTCTGATCTCTATAGACAGATCATATAACAGCCTTGTTGGTCATTATAACACATTCCCATTCTCTGTAGATGAAACTGCCCGTGAATGTATTTTAAAAGACAGTGATTCAATCGCCACCAGTGAATGTTTGGTGAAAGTCACATTCAGTGCTTTATAAGTAGGCCAATATATGCGAGGTCATATAATAGGTTTAAAATATATATTTAACATTATTATTAATACGAAATTCTATTTGTGGTGACAATATATATATATATATATATACACACACTATAAATGCCAAAAATAATCCCCTCCAAATCATGTGATTCAGGTGTTCCAATCCCCTCCATGGACACAGGTGTATACAATCAAGCCTCTAGGCATGCAGACTGCTTCTACAAATATTGGTGAAAGAATGGGTCGCTCTCAGGACCTCAGTGACTCCAAGCGTGGTCCCATGATAGGTGGTCACTTGTGCAATAAATCTATCCGTGACATTTCCTGGCTACTAAATATTCCACGCTCAACTGTTAGTGGGATTATAACAAAGTGGAAGCAACTGGGAACAACAGCAACTCAGCCACCAAGTGGTAGGCCACATCACATGACAGAGCGGGGTCAGTGCATGCTGGTAGGCCACGTCACAGAAGTCGCCAACTGTCTGCAGAGTCAATAGCTAAAGACCTCCAAACTTGGTGTGGCCTTCAGATGAGCACAACAACAGTGCGTAGAGAGCTTCATGGAATGGGTTTCCATGGCCGAGCAGCTGCATCCAAGCCTTCCATCACTAAGTGCAATGCAAAGCGTCGGACTCCGTGGTGTAAAGCACACCGCCACTGGACTCTAGAGCAGTGGAGACGTGTTCTCTGGAGGAACCAATCACGTTTCTCTGTCTGGCAATCCGATGGATGTGTCTGGGTTTGGCGGTGGCCAGGAGAGAACGGTACTTGCCTGACTGCATTGTACCAAGTGTAAAGTTTGGTGCAGGAGGGATTATGGTGTGGGGGTGTTTTTCAGGGGTTGGGCTTGGCCCCCTAGTTCCATTGAAGGAAACTCTTATGGCGATATTTTGGACAATTTCATGCTCCCAACTTTGTGGGAGATGTTTGGGGATGACCCCTTCCTGTTCCAACATGACTGCGCACCAGTGCACAAAGCAAGGTCCATAAAGACATGGAGGAGCCAGTTTGGGGTAGAGGAACTTGACTGGCCTGACTTCAACCCCATAGAACACCTTTGGGATGAATTAGAGCGGAGACTTCGAGCCAGGCCTCCTCCCGACATCAGTGCCTGACCTGACAAATGTGCTTCTGGAAGAATGGTCCAAACTTCCCATAGACACCCTCCTAAACCTTGTGGACGGCCTTCCCAGAAGAGTTCAAGCTGTTATAGCTGCAAAGGGCGGGGCCAACTCAATATTGAACCCTATGGACTAAGACTGGGGGGCCCATTAAAGGTCATGTGCGTGGAAAGGCTGGAGACCAATACTTTTGGAAATATAGTGTACAGTAACACAGTATGTGTGTGTATCAGTATCTGTTGGAGATAAAAGACATCACAGTGATTATGGAAGAAGAGGGCAGACATGACAATGGAGGAAGAGGACGGACATGATGATGGAGGAAGAGGACGGACATGATGGGGGGGTTACTGAATGTAAATATAAAATAAGATCTTATCACCTCCTCTGCTGCCAGTTCCAGCAATGTCTCCTCTCTACTTCCTCCCACTGTACTTCTCACCCAGAACGTCCCATTTATACCTGACATCACTTCCTGTCTGTATTACATCACTTCCTCCCTGTGCTATCTTGGGTCAGCTCCATCACAACCTTTCTTTTTGTTCCACTCAGCATTATTAAACCCCCCTCCCCCGTAATGACATTAAAGGTAGAGTCCCATCTCTTTTCAGCATGCAAATATTAAAAGATAACATGACTTTGAGGCCAATTCTGACACTTTTTCTTTACAGTTATAAATCAGTGCTTTTTTGATAGAACATTTCATAGAACTCCCAAACATTCTACTTTTTTTTTTTTTTTTTTTTTTAGCAGAGGCCCTAGAGAATAAAATGGTGGGTATTGCAATTTTTTATGTAACACGGTGTTTGCACAGCGGTTTTTCCAAACGCAAGATTTTGGAAAAAAATACACTGTTTTTCTTTTTTGATGCGAGAATACCGTTAGCAAATAGCCGCAACATTTGTCCAGTAGAAGAATACAAAAAGTGAAAGCATACAGTTTGTCAGTATAGTTTGAGGACCAGGCAGTGGTGTATTTTGGTTTTGTGCTGCCCTAGGCAAGACTAAAATTGGGCACCCCCCCCCCCCCCCGCATCTAAATGTGTCCCACCCCTTTATCTGCAAACTCCACCCTTTCCTCTTTAGGCTCCACCTCTCTTCCTATAAGAGCTCCGCCCACTGACAACGATGGGGCGCTATTCCTCCCACTGACACCAATGATGGGGTATGATTCCTCCCACTGACACTAATGATGGGGCACTATTTCTTCCACTGACACCAATGATGGGGCACTTATTCCTCCCACTGACACCAGTGATGTGGCACTATTCCTCCCACTGACACCAATGATGGTGTCCCATCATTAATGTCAGTGTGTGAGGAATAGTGGCACATCACTGGTGTTAGTGGGAGGAATAGTGCCCCGTCATTGGTATCAGTGGGAGGAATCGTGCCCCATCATTGGTGTCAGTGGGAGGAATCGTGCCCCATCATTGGTGTCAGTGGGAGGAATCGTGCCCCATCATTGGCGTCAGTGGGAGGAATAGTGCCCCATCATTGGTGTCAGTGAGAGTAATCGTGCCCCATCATTGGTGTCAGTGGGAGGAATCGTGCCCCATCATTGGTGTCAGTGGGAGTGTGATGGATTTGGTAAAATGCCTATTTCGTTTCCTATTGAATATATATATATATATACGCTATTTCTATAAGTTTTATAAATATTTACTTTTATACTTTAATACATATGTTGTGTGAATATTTTCTGCCTGCTGGGCTTTGTGGTACTTTAAGAAATCCTTGCTTAAGAAATATTTGCTCACAGGAACAGACCCCCTCCCATCGTGTGATTTGGAAGACAAAAGAATGTTTTTCTCTTTTTAAGATAAGACTGAAGAAGATCACACCTATACCATGACGGAGATTGTTTTCGTGTAAAGTGACCAATCAAAGACTAATATAATGCTTTGCTGTTATCACGTGATGTTCGCATCATTTTTCATATATAAGCTCACGGTTTCATTTCAATAAATTAGAGAGAAGTTTTCACAGACCAAACGTTGCAGTGTGAGTTTCTTAATGTGCGCACATTCCAAAAGCTGGCCAGCATCATAAATTAGGACAGGAACAGATAAGCACTGAACAATTAAGTCCAAGACTAAATCAATTTGGTGCCAAGAAACCCGGGAACTGAGTAATGAACCTGCAGCCAGCCGCCATGAAAAGGCGTTCGGTGTCAGTCAAACTGGACAGGCCGGAGAGCTTGATCACCTCTCGGAGCATGGTAAGATATATTTTGCTATCTTACCATTGCTTATCCTGTCTTTGTTGTTGATTCATACCTGTGCCTAGTATGGCTGCTAAAGATCAATAAAGGCAGGTAACCTTGTATGCCCGGAGTTTATTTACATATACCTGCATGTGCTTATCTGTTACCTGGGTCTCTGTTGTGTGTTTTTATGTATCAGTCTTGAGGTGGAAGAGGAGTGGACCTACTGAGGGTTTTGACACATAATTTCTCTGGGTGTGTGGTAACCTTGTGTGTTGACCACAACAGAGGAGGTGTCGGATATGCGTCACGGTAGTGTGACAGCGGGTGCCGTAACTGTTTGTGTGGGTTACGATGAGTTACTCAGTGATCTGTACTCAGAGCCCACCAAGATAGACTGCATGTTATGTCCTAAATGTGTGTCTGTAAGCTAATGTTTGCCATTCATAACAGAAGGTTGGGGTTTGTTAAGGGTTAAGGAAAGTCTGGACAGCAGCCTGTGAAGTGTCTTAGATTTGTTAGGAAGGACCAGGGACAGGAGAGATGGGTCAGACGCTGATAAGACCCCTAGAAAGGAATGTTAGCACGTGACCTGGTTGCACAGAGGGAGGGGAGCAGTATGTTAAAGGGATTAGTTAAGTTAGAAAGTGTGTGGAATCAAAGATAAGGAGGTATGAGAAAAAAAAAAAAAGAAAGAAAGATGTCTTAGTTGACAAACATGTGCTGAAGACAGCAAGAAGTTTGGTATAATGTAGCCGAAGTTATCCACAAAGAGTA